GAGAGATAAGGTGCTTGGTGCAAAGAAGGTTAATAATTGGAGGTCACCAAAGTGTAAAACAATTTACCTGTGTCAGACAAAGATAACTGTAAGTGTGTATCATCCACCTATTGTTTGGCACATTTTTTAATGTCTTTCATTAAAACCTGAATGGAATGCTGGAAAAATGTTTTTACACTTGACTGAGGTGGAACACACATTTGGATGGAAACCTGGCAAGTAAGAAAGAGTCAGAGCTCCTGTTGGCTTTGCTCTGCTACCATAAAGAGTCCTGTCTGTCAGTGACGATGTTGTGATTGTAGGGGGAGTTTTCTCTCTGAACCACAGGAGGTCACCAGGAGTAAAAGTGCTCGTATCCAGACATAAGACCCTGAGAAACATCCAGAACAAACTAAGACTATACTTTCAGGGATCATTTCTATAGTTTCTGACTTGAGAAATGTGTTTCTAAAGTGTTTGGTCTCGCTAACCACGATGATGAGTCGTGATATTTCTTTCATAGCAGGAAACTGGTGGGAAGATTTTGTTTCTTCTCCACTGTTGAAGATTGTTCAGAGTTTCTGAATGAGACTCTGATGGAGGAAACATGGTCTGAGTGGGCTGTTGCTTGTTCTAATCTTTTAAACAAAGCAATTGATCTGTCTAGAAAAGATGCATAATGAAGTAAGCTCTTAGATGCAAACTAAACCTAAAGAACAGAAAAGTTTAAGATCTCTCTTTGCAGTTTGGCACAAAAATGTTTAATGTTTCAGTCTCATTTTCATTAACTAAGATTTGTTTCTTATTTAGTGCCTTGTTCTATCTGATTGACTTATTTTGCACCCATTTGATCTTACTTCGTGTTCAACTTATTTTACAATGCGCCACACCAGTCTTTCTAGTGGAAACAAATATGTTTAAAGAGAATTTTCTGTTACAGTGGAAAAGGCAGCGGTGACTCAAGAAATTTAGCTCACAGCCATACTCATCTGTCACAGAATGAGTAGAAGTTTGACTAAGAGTTTGTAAGTCCATCTGGGAATATTTTTATTTAATTTTTTTTAGGCTAAATTCTGTTTTAATGAATGATGTAAAATATCTGCAAGTTCCAGGAAGATACTTTAAGATAAACACTTTAAATTAAAAATCTGAAACAGAAGGTAGACAGTCAGACGCAACATATCAGTGTGGCCATGTTGTTAATCTGTCAGTGACGATGTTGTGATTGTAGGAGGAGTGTCTGAACCACAGGAGGTCACCAGGAGTAAAGGTGCTCGTCTCCAGACATAAGACCCTGAGAAACATTCGAAACAAACCAAGACGATACTTTCAGAGATCTTTTCTTTAGTTATTAACTTGAGAAATGTGTTTCTAAAGAGTTTGGTCTCGTTTCCCACGATGAAGAGTTCAGATGTTTCCTTCAGAGCAGGAAACTGGTGGGAAGACTTTGTTTCTTCTCCACTGTTGAAGATGGTTCAATGTCTCTGAATGAGACTCTGATGGAGGAAACATGGTCTGAGTGGACATACTGTAGTGTGCTAAGATCAAGTTTTGCAGTTGTTGTCAGCATTTCTTCTGAGGAGGAAGGACCACACATAAACCTCCCTGTAGATTAAAATATGAGAGATGAGGTTCTTTTGTTTCAGTTGACAGCTGAGGTCAACATTCAGTAGCAGGAATATTATTTGCACATTTGCAGTTTAAACTTGAGAAACGTGTTGCATGTAGTTACACACAGGTCAAAGGTCAGCATGTGTACTTTGATTTATTTAGATTTTTCAACAGATCGGATCTAACAAAACAGGTACACAACCTTCAGTGATTCACTACGTGCCAGTTTATACAGTTAAACACTTGAATGTTCATCAAAGAACTCTTTGCACAATAATAAACTTAAAAAGCAGTTTGAAGTCTCTTGATGGTTCTACAGACTTCTAGAAAACAAGATTAACACTCAGATCATGTTTCTTCCATTAGAGCCACATGCAGTAAACGATCTTCAACAGGGGAGAAGAAACAAAAGCTGTGTTTCATTAGTAGTTGGCACAAGCTTGTTGAGTTCCTCTCTGCACTTTCCCTCGGGGGGGATTCCCACCAACATAAGTGTCATTCCATTTATCTGATAACTCACTGAACTTTGTGAGCTGATCCTTTGTCATGCTATAGAGTTTACTTTATGCAATTACTTCACTAGAGTGTATTATGCTGTTTTGCTCTTCGCTTTGTCTCGGCTGGTCGGAGTACCTCTCCTGTTTGTAGTTACGCCGTTCACATTTACTCCCCGTTTGTTTGTGTTGCCTTCATGCATATTTCATGCTGTAGAAAAATGCAAAGCGCTGTCAATATGATAAAACCTATTGCCATAAAGAGTGTAAATTCTGACTAAATAACCAATAGAGTATAATATCAAACAATGATTGTCTATCACCAAACAATATATATTGTCATATTTCACAGCCCGAATTGATTACCGGTATGTTATTATGGTATTTAAGGGTGAGAGGAAGAGACACAGCTCCTCATTTAGAGGCATCGGTAGTTATTGTGAAGTACTATACCATGGTCTTTGGGGGAGCTCACAAGGCGGGATGCTTGGCTGATTGACTCACAGTTTGCTGACTACATAACAGAGAAATCAAATCTGCTTCCCAAAGTTGACAGCTTCTCTGAGTCATCAACTAAATCAGTGTCATTCTTTTAAATCTTAGCATTGGCATTTTAATAGTAGCATGCATGTTTACAATCACAAATAATCAAAAATAATCCCCTAAAATTTCACTAATCATGTTTTCAGGCGAGCTCATATTAAGATTCTTCTTATTAAGATTCTCCCCTGTAGTTTGCACCCTGCTTGCAAGGCATAATGAACACTGCACACAACCGGGCAATGATCCATTGTGATTACAAAAGCAGTTGCATTCCCTTTAAATCACCCACTCCTCCCCTGCCAACTTTCCCCCTTCTCCAAGAAGCCTCCGTGTCTGGTGTTGCATAATAGCAAGGGCTGATGGTAACAGAACGATGGGAGGTGCAAATGAAATACAGCTTAAGTCTTCCCGGGTGTTTCCTGCTCTGAGGAACATCTGAACTCATTCATTGCGGGCAGCAAGATCAAACTCTTTCCCAACTGTGCACAAACCATGACTAAAGATTATTTTTGAATGACTCATTAATCAGTTTGTGAACAGCACACAGGTGTAATAGCATGTGGGGACAGAGGGACATTTATCCACGCCATTTAACTTATATAACTCAAAATGTCCATGACAATCGAAGAAAGACTCTGCAGTCAGTGCTTTTAAATTTCACCTTCATTAGGAGGAGGAGTTTTCTTACTGAACAACAGGAGGTCACCAGGAGTAAAAGCGCTCGTCTCTAGACATAAGACCCTGAGGAACATCCAGAAGAAACCGAGACTATTCTTTTAGAAATCATTTCTTTAGTTCTTGACTTGAGAAATGTGTTTTTAAACAGTTTGTTCTCGTTGCCCACAATAAAGAGTTCAGATGTTTCCTTCAGAGCAGGAAACTGGTAGAAAGGCTTTGTTTCTTCTCCACTGTTGAAGATTGTTCAGAGTTTCTGAATGAGACTCTGATGGAGGAAACATGATCTAAGTGGACTTTTAGAGCTCCTAACATTGTCTTTAGAGCTCCTAATGAGTGGGGTAAATGTGATTAAGCCTAAACTACAATCATTTGGGTAAAAATAAATATAATAATATTCATCTGTATGTTTTCATTAGTATAAATTCACCTAAAATAATAGCTGTTTTTGTTACCTTAGACTGAGACATTTTTATATACAGACGCCAAGGGTCACCTTCTGTGGAAGCCACCATGTTTCTACTGAATGGACAAACCAAACACTGGCTCTAGATAGGGTTATTCATGTTTCCTGTGTATTTCCCTGACACCTAGTTTACCTTAAGTGAAAACACCTGGGTGGCTCTTTGCAGTTCCTGCATACCCACACAGGTGTTTGCAACTATTCTGGTTGATTTGATTTGCATCCCAGTAGCAAACTGAAGAAGAAAGAAGTTTTTGACTCATTAGCTCTACTTTAATCATAGGTTCCCGTTGAACTGCAGACTAGTTAGAGAAATATTTACACAAGCTTCATGTTTTTGTTAGTCTTTCAGAAAGCTGCACTCAGATCATGTTTCCTCCACCAGAGTCTTTCCACCAGTTTCATGCTCTGAAAGAAACAGCTCAACTCGTCATTGTGGGCAACAAGACCAAACTGTTTAGAAACACATTTCTCAAGTGAGGAATTAAAGAAATGATCCCTGAAAGTATAGTCTTGGTTTGTTCTGGATGTTTCTCAGGGTCTTATGTCTGGATACGAGCACTTTTACTCCTGGTGACCTCCTGTGGTTCAGAGAGAAAACTCCCCCTACAATCACAACATCGTCACTGACAGACAGGACTCTTTATGGTAGCAGAGCAAAGCCAACAGGAGCTCTGACTCTTTCTTACTTGCCAGGTTTCCATCCAAATGTGTGTTCCACCTCAGTCAAGTGTAAAAACATTTTTCCAGCATTCCATTCAGGCCTCCTGTGGTTCAGACAGAAAACTCCTCCTACAGTCACTGATAAATTAAACACCTCAATAACCTACAGAAAATGCTGTTGGTATTTTTTCTGGTAAACTGGACATTTAATGCAGTGAGTTAATATATTTCTGTTCTCTTCTTTATTCTCCACCTGCAGCAGGAAACACCTGGATGCTGTTCTGTATTTCAGAGGCCCGCTGAGAGGCCGCGAACACCAGCTGATCATGCGGAGACTCACGGAGCTGAGGAAGAACGCGGGAGGTGGCGACAAGAGCCAAGATTTATTTGGCAACATGCAGGTCACCGTCAACACAGACTGCCTTTCCAACCTTCCTTTCTCCTGCTTCAGCTTCCTGCTGCCCGACAACTAGTGCAACATGGTGGACGAGTCGCTGCGTGGAGGAAAAGTATAAACTCAAGTTACAGTTGTACTCAGGTTATTTGACACATTTTGACACAAAGTAAGGTCTTTGCTCTCAAACACAGCTTTATACTAACTGTACCTTTTGCACAGAATCAGGTATATTTTTCTGCCTTCCCCCCTAAAAAACTTTAAAATGTCTAAAAAAATAAAAAAAGTCTTTAAAATGTTTTTTATAGCCGATAAGTAAACAGTTTCTTAATGGGTTTATGGTTTCAATCTCTAGTTTTAAGTCTTGATGTTCATTTTGTAAATTATAGTCCAGTGTAGAGTAAAATAGATGGTAAAGCAGGGTATGTAACACAAAACTCAGATCCAACTGTCAAACTAGGCAGTGCTGATCAAATATGAATCAAGATTCTGTTACTGTGTAACATATGTTAGCATACTGTTTAGCTGTAATACGAGATTGTGTGTGACCAGGCAGCCAATAAGAGCAGCTCAACTCATAGTACATCACCTCTGCTGGCGACGACCGTAACACCAAACTCGAGGCTTCAACACGATACTTCACAAACCAATGGGTGACGTCACCATAGGTTCACACTTGGTCAAAAACACTAATTTGATCTGAGATCATAATGCCTTAATCTAAAAGAATCTGAAGTTTAAATACAAAAATTAAAATAAAATATAAAAGGTAATTGTAATGCAACATTAATATTCTATTCAGTATATTGTCATTGCTTGACAATTTAGTATGGATTTATTTATTTATTATTTATTGACATTTTTTGAACAGCAACTTAATCATCTCCTATAGACCTTTTTCCCAGCAGCCATTTTGATGTGAACTAGTAGAGTAAACACAGGTGTTACCATTGATACTAATTAAGGTTTCCGTTCCATTTAGTGTAGCAGAGCCTTTCCAGTGAGTCAACATGCACAATAGCATCATTAGATTAAGTTAAAAATGAATCTAATAACATGTCCACTGTTTTTACACCAATTACAATGAATACTTCGGTCCAACAGATGAGAGAACTTACTTCTGTTATTCTAAAAGCAAAAATCCTTTAAAAGTGTTCATTAATGACTTAGACAAATGTAAAAATGCCACATCTGTTATCACTTACACAACAAACTAAATGTGACGCATTTAGTGTGATACATATTAGAGTGTTTGCAGCATTGTGAGAAATTGCAGAATTATTTTCTGGGAAAGAAAACACCAAGTAATTCACCAAATTATCTGGATATAACTCAAAGCTGAAGGCAGTCAAAAAGATTGTGAAACTCTCTGTGTGGAACAAATAAAAGGCAGGTTTCAGTGCCAAAGTGTTTGCTGTGGGGAGGTTTTCTCAGCAACACTATTCTGCAGTCCTATTTTTGTTAGACCTCAGTTTGAGTTCGTAGTGTCAGATCTACTAATAAGAACTAAGAAACTGAAACTCTCTTGCGTGCCTGAATACCATGAATGTGTCATGTGCTGTTGATCAAGGAACTGAACCTAGCGGATGGGAAATTTACCATGTGTGAGCCCTCCACACTGCCTTCAGACTTAAAAATTCGATTTTTATTTTTGTGTGAAATAAGAATTGTCTTTCTGCTAAATCTCTGATTTCAGATGACGCTGTATGATCATAGATACAAAACCTAGCTTAATGTGATTTAAATTGCACATTTTATTATATTCCTTTAATCATTCTGTTCTCCTGTTTTTGTAAATGTTTCTGTATCCATGTTTGTTACCCAGTTTCTCAGGATGGTTTTTCAGGGTTTTCAACTTTATTTTACCTGTGATGTCTGTTTCAGGTTTCCAAAGTTCTCATAAATCCTGACAGTGATATGAATTTAAGTATGAAATGTTTCTGTGTTCGATTTTCAAATGACCAAATGGAGCCCAAAGGGGGTTATATATAAATATTTAGAAATCTATTTAATCTTTCTTTAATAAGACATATGAAACAAATTAGTGTCACAAATCTCTCACGACTCCATCTGTATGTTAAGCAACCGCTTGTTGAGAAACTCTGTTGACCAAGAAGCTTTTCAGTCCAGATACAAACAACTTTTTTCTATATTTTTTGGGGCATTTTTTTGATGAGACAGCTTAAGACAGACAGGAAAAGTAGAGAGACCGGGGATGGCACACAGGAAAAGGGCCACGTGTTGGACTTGAACCCATGGCTGCTGCAGCAAGGACTCAGCCTTAGTACATGGAGCTCCAGCTCTACCGGGTGAGCTAGCAGGATGTCACAAATAGCTGTAAAAAGAAACAAGCGCTAGCAAGTCAAGAAGGATAAATAGAAAACGGACAATAAAATATTATTAAAATATGTACATTATGTTATTTAAATGACAAAGCTGTACAGTTTTGTGCAGGAACGTGTATTCACCACAGTATGAAGTCAATGTCAGTGGGGGTCCCTGTCTTTGTTAATGAGGCCAGCTGCAGTCGAATATAAAGTGTTCTTGTTAGGTTTTGGTCTCAAAAAGCATCTCGAGATGTTTTTGACCGGGGTGGGAGGGGTTGCCCACAACATCTTGCTGCAGCAGTTTCATGACTTTCCTCATGAAACAGGAAGACAACTAAGACCTAAAGGTTAACAAGATGTTTTTTCATTACCAATTCTGAGAAATAAAACATCATAATTACATTAACAGTCTCCGTTTGATTTTGTAACAGTACAACATGGCCACTCAGATCTTGTTTCCTCGTCACTGACAGATTAAGACCTCGAACACACCACCATTTATTGAGATTTTGGACTAAAATCAATTCCCTTTTAATGGAAGCGCTGCATTCAGGGCATTTGTATTCATGAAATTAACATACATTTGGACAATTCTTTCATGTTGAGTTAAAGTTTTGTGCACTCTGATGCACAAGTGTGTGTTGACAATAATACTGTCAGAGATAATTTCTTTAGCTTTTGACTGATAGGACGTTATTGTAAGTGTCTCCTTTGTCCCTGCAAAAAATATGCTGTCACACATCCACACAAATAACATTTTCCAAACAACATGTCAGTGATGATTCACAAAAATAAACAAATCTGTCAGTGATGAGGAGTGTCTGAACCACAGGAGGTCACCAGTAGTAAAAGTGCTCGTCTCTAGACATAAGACCCTGAGACACATCCAGCACATACCAAGACTATACTTTCAGAGATCATTTCTTTAGTTCTTGACTTGAGAAATGTGTTTCTAAAGAGTATGGTTTCGCTGCCCACAATGAAGAGTTCAGATGTTTCCTTCAGCAGCAGGAAACCTGGTGAAGACTTTGTTTCTTCTCCACTGTTGAAGATTGTTCATTGAGTTTCTGAATGAGACTCTGATGCAGGATACATGATCTGAGTGGAAACCTTGTTCTCGTCTCAAAATAAAAATTTAAACTGATCTTGCTCAGAAAGTTTCTTAGACTTGTAACAAGAACAAATTGTCAACCTGTATGTCTTTGCTGACTTCATGTTTCAACAGAACCTAGATCAATCTGCTGCAGCAAGATGTTGTCAAAACTGATTTTAAAAAGGTCCTGAACTGAACCACCATTAACGATTAAAAAAAGATATTGCACTGCAGCACAAAAGGCTTTCCCATGACAGATGCTGAAATACAATGTTTGTGTATGTGTGAAAATACGGTTGATGGTTGTGGTTAGGCACCCACACACACCATGTGACAGTCAAGTGACAGTCTGTGTATTAAAAGACTTGCAAGTCTTTGAAAACCAAATACAAGGAAAGCAAAAAAACAATGGAAGTGATCTGCGGTGAACATCTTCAAATCCCAGGTTTCCAGTTTTATTATTATTATGATTACATTACATAACACACACTACAAGGCTTTACAAGAAACAAGCTATGTCTCACTTTATGTAATGTACTGATGTTGGCCATGCACTATTTTGGCACTCAGAATATGAAACATTATGAAAACTATTTAAATGGCTAACTAATAGGCAACAGTTAGCCAACAGTATTTTCAAATATAAAAACCTAAAAAGAGAGCATTAATTATATATTGTCTTTACTTTGATGTGTGAGTTGTCGCTGCAGACTTAAATCCACCAGCATAGTCTTTTTTGCACATTTTGAAGCTATGAGCTATTTTGCGAATGCTGTGCAATGTATTGTGGGATGGTAGCTTCCTTCAATATCATACTGAAAACATGAAACACAACTTAAAGACAAGAGAGCATGTTAAGAATACACCCAAAACAAAACTTAAATATTTAAAAGAACTTAATCAGCTTCAGAAAAAAAAGTGTCCACTCAGATCATGTTTCCTCCATCAGAGTCTCATTCGGAAACACTGAACAATCATCAACAGTGGAGAACAAACAAAGCTCTCCCACCAGTTTCCGGCTCTGAAGAAAACATCTGAACTCGTCATCGTGGGCAGCGAAACCAAACACTTTAGAAACACATTTCTCAAGTCAGAAACTATAGAAATGATCCCTGAAAGTATAGTCTTAGTTTGTTCTGGATGTTTCTCAGGGTCTTATGTCTGGAGACGAGCGCTTTTACTCCTGGTGACCTCCTGTGGTTCAGACAGAAAACTCCTCCTGCAATCACAGCATCATCACTGACAGACAGGCCTCTTTTTTTGTGGAGCAAATCCAACAGGAGCTCTTACACTTTGTTACTCGCCAGGTTTCCATCCAAATGTCTCCTCAGTCAATATTTACACTTTCCGGCTTTTCCACTCAGAACATTCAAAACATTCAAAACGTGCCAAACAATAGTTGGATGAAACACACTTACTGTTATCTTTGTCTGAGACAGGTACATTTTTTTACATTGTACCTTTTTGGTGGTTTTGTGACTCCAAATTAACCTTCTTGCACCAAGTGAAGCCGTTCAGCTGAGGTTGTGTTTCTGGAGCTCCACAAAGAAACTGTGGTCATTGTTTTCGCATAATATTGCACCTTTATTTCCAAATCTACAAACACCAGTTTTCAGATTTTGGATTGAAGGAAAACCTGAATGCTCTTGAACCTACATGGCAAATGACTGCCTGCTTTAAAGGCCCATGCATTTGGGCACATAGGGATATTTCCTAAAAGAAGTGTTGAGAGCATTTAGAGATTTTTAGGGCAAAAATTTGATTCAGCACAGTACAGTATGTCCACTCAGATCATGTTTCCTCCATCAGAGTCTCATTCAAAAACTCTGAACAATCTTCAACAGTGGAGAAGAAACAAAGTCTCCCCACCAGCTTTCTGCTCTGAAGAAAACATCTGAACTCTTCATCGTGGACAGCGAGACCAAACACTTTAGAAACACATTTCTCAAGTCAAGAACGAAAGAAATGATCCCTGAAAGTATAGTCTTGGTTTGTTCTGAATGTTTCTCAGGGTCTTATGTCTGGAGATGAGCACCTTTACTCCTGGTGACCTCATGTGGTTCTCCTACAATCACAGCGTCGTCACTGACAGATTAACAACATGGCCACACTGATATGTTGTGTCTGACTGTTTACCTTCTGTTTCAGAATTTTAATTTAAAGTGTTTATCTTAAAGTATCTCAACATTTTTTGGAAAGATTGAACTTCCTGGAACTTGCAGATATTTCCCATCATTCATGAAAACAGAATTTAGCCGAAACAATTTAAAATACAAATATTCCCAGATGGACTTACAAACTCTTAGTCAAACTTCTACTCATTCTGTGACAGATGAGTGTGGCTGTGAGCTAAATTTCTTGTTCTTGAGTTAGCGCTGCCTTTTCCACTTTAACAGAAAATTCTCTTTAAACATATTTGTTTCCCCTAAAAAGACTGATGTGGTGCATTGTAAAATAAAATGAACACATATGGCAATAAAAAAAAAAAATTCAGGCATGTTCGTAACAAACTTCAAAGAGAAATAATGACACTGGAGAATTTCAACTTCTCTATTGTTGCTTTGAGATAATTCTGCATTAGAAAGATTGTGTTTTCAAAAATAGATTCTGTAAAATCAAGGATTTAATTAATGTGATATGAGGACAGTCCACTCAGATCATGTTTCCTCCTTCAGAGTCTTATTTAGAAACTCTGAACAATAATCAACAGTGGAGAAAAAAACAAAGTCTTCCCATCAGTTTTCTGCTCTGAAGGAAACATCTGAACTCTTCATCATGGGCAGCGTGACCAAACTCTTTAGAAAGATATTTCTCAAGTCAAGAACTAAAGAAATGATTCCTGAAAGTACAGTCTTGGTTTGTTCGGGATGTTTCTCAGGGTCTTATGTCTGGAGACGAGCACTTTTACTCCTGGTGACCTCCTGTGGTTCAGACACTCCTCCTACTATCACAGCATCATCAAGTAGACACTTCCAATAACGTCATAACAGTCAAAAGCTAAAGAAATTATCTCTGACAGTATTATTGTCAGCACACACTTGTACATCAGAGTGCATAAAACTTTAATTCAACATGAAAGAATTTTATTTTATTTATGTTACTTTTATGAATACAAATGCCCTGAATACATCGCTTCCATTAAAATGGACTTAATTTTAGTCCAAAAACTCAATAAAGGCTGGTGTGTTCTGTCAGTGATTATGCTGTGACTGAGGAGTGTTTGTCTGAACCACAGGAGGTCACCAGGAGTAAAAGTGCTCGTCTCTAGACATAAGACCCTGAGAAACATCCAAAACCAACCAAGACTATACTTTCAGGGATAATTTCTTTAGTTTTTGACTTGAGAAATGTGTTTCTAAAGAGTTTGTTCTTGCTGTCCACAATGAAGAGTTCAGATGTTTCCTTCAGAGCAGGAAACAGGTGTGAAGACTTTGTTTCTTCTCCACTGTTGAAGATTGTTCAGAGTTTCTGAATGAGATTCTGATGGAGAATACATGATCTGAGTGGACATAGTCTTCAGTAAAGTCTAGTTTTAAATTTGTTTTATGTTTTAAATAACTTCCTGCTTCAAGAAGTACAAACTCATGTTAGTGCAGTAAAATTGTCTAATGATTTTTTTTAAGAAGGCAGAAGTCCACAACTGAACTACTATTAATGATTGAAATGTAGAAGACACACACTCCCACAGACAACAGAAAGGTTCAGTTGTATGAGGAATGTTTGTGTAAGTAATTTTACACAAGATTTAAATCTTGCATCATGTTTGTTCACTCAAACTGTTTTGGTGTTTTTTGCATTGGTGGTTGTGGTTAGTCACACACACACACAAGTGACTGTCCTGTAATCTATGAAAACTAAATACAAAGAAAGGAAAGGAGGAAGTGATCTGCAGTGAACTCCTGCAAATCCCAGGTTTCCAGTAATATTATTAGTATCATTACATAATATCCATATGTGCATGTATGTACGTATTTCTTTTTATTTTCTTCTTTTTAAAAATGTTATATTTCTTTATCATTATTGGCTCTTCTCCTCCTCTTCCTCATCACTCATCCCTGCACATTGTCATACAAACACACAAACACATACAGATACAAAATGTTTCTAAAACCAACTAAACTCTCTCTATAAACCTCTGTATCAATAACCTCTGTTTGTTATGTCCGTCTAATTTGTTGTGTTAGTTATTTATTGACATTTGAAAGTGATGAAAGCTCTCTTCCATTTGAATCTTTAATAGAGATTTTACATATTTGAAATGTTTCTCAGTTCCAGCCACTGTTCAGCAGTGATCATGAGGCTTTTTTCACATAAGAAGAAGTAGATTGTATTTTGGTATTAAGTGTTTTAACAGTTTAACTTGAACTGCAGGGGCTTTTCCTTCACACAATGTCACAAGACTGTTTGATTTGATTCTCGCCAAGACAAGAAAGAAATGTAATGTATTATGTATTGTAATTTTTGTAACGTACTGATGTTGTGTACTACTTTGGCCCTCAGAATATGAAATGTTAAGATAACTATATAAAGCGCTTGCTAAGAGCAGCCAGTTTACCAAAATTTTCTAAAAAAACAGCATGATTTATGACTTGGTATGTATTTTCTTTACTTATTTGTTTTTATGTTGTTACTGCAGCCTTTACACCACCATCATATTTGTTTTCGGAGTCTCACACAGAAACTCTGAACAGTCTTCAACCTTGGAGAAGAAACAAAGTCTTCATCTGTCAAACATCTGCACTCGTCATCTTGGACAGCGAGACCAAACTCTTTAGAAACACATTTCTCAAGTTAAGAACTAAATAAATGATCCCTGAAAGTATAGTCTTGGTTTGCTCTGGATGTTTCTCAGGGTCTTATGTCTGGAGACGAGCACTTTTACTCCTGTCGACCTCCTGTACTTAAGAAAGAAAACTCCTCCTACGATCACAGAATAATTAGGCTCATTTGAGATGATCCAGGCCTGCACAGAATCGAACATTGCCGGTTAGATTTGTGTCGTAGTTGATGCCGGCTGGTTCTGACATCATGCACACAACCATAACCTCCTGAGATCGAGATCAGTGCCTCTCCACTGACTGCAAGACCCAGTGCATGATGGGAAACGCATGATCAAAGAGCTGATTGGCACTTAAAAAGAGGCCTGTCTGGCAGTGATGCTGCTGTGATTGTAAGGGCAGTGTCTCGCTGAACCACAGGAGATCACCAGGAGTAAAAGTGCTCGTCTCCAGACATAAGACCCTGAGAAACATCCTGAACCAACCAAGACTGTACTTTCAGGGATCATTTCTTTAGTTTTTGACTTGAGAAATGTGTTTGTAAAGAGTTCAGATGTTTGTTTTCAGAGCAAGGAAACTGTGGCAAGACTTGGTTTCTTCTCCACTGTTGATGATTGTTCAGTGTTTCTGAATGAGACTCTGATGGAGGAAACATGATCTGAGTGGGCATAGTGTAGTCTGTTAACCACTGACTTCTGTCTTCCTTGGCTTGACTTAGAATTGTAACAGATAAACTGCGGGAGCGCTATTAATGATTGAAATGTAGTAAAGCAGTTCAGTTGTATGAGGAATGTGCAACGACAAACATTATCTGAGTGGGTTTCAATAAGGTAAAGATTCAAATGTTTCAGTTCCCCAGAAGAAAAATCCCCTCAGTTATAAGCACCTTTAGACTCCCCTTTGTCCTTTTCTAGTTGACTGGATACTGGATGCAAGAAATATTAATTAATTAATGGGAGCAGCCAACCTTACCAAAAACCACACTCTCTGATTTAATTGTGAGGTAACCCTCCCTTTATCAAACAAACTTTGTCAGATACAGTAATTCAGACATCAATTTCAGGCCAGAGATAAAATCCTCGAGGGAGTAGAAGATTTGGATGTGAGATTATCTGAGGAAGCCTGGGGGAAAGTATTACTCATTGTCCACTCCTCAGTTCACTGTGCCGAACAGGAAATCATTCAGCGACCAAATATGTGATCATTGCCTCTTTACTGTAAAACACACAATCTGCTTTTGTCCATTTTTACACAACTTCTGGACCGAGATTTTATGATTTTCAAATCATGACCTAAAGAAATGATCCCTGGAAGTACATGTTTTTCAGTAAAAGAAAACTCACTGAAAATAACTTCCCTGCAGTAATACAGAAAACATCTGGACCTGGCAGAAGCAGATTTCCTATAAAGACTATATTTTCTGAAAGGCCTATGTAAATGTTCCTATTCGTTGTACCTGTGGTCGTTGTGGTGTCTGTAACTTCCACATGACATCTTCTTTCTTTTACTTTTGACGCTGATGCAAATTGGTGCATCGACAGTTGAGATACTTTCAGTTTGCATCTGGCTCATGTTTTTGTAGAGGTTGTCATGTCCCAACACAGAAGTTGCAGGTCAGATTGACCAAGATGGTTTTTTTTGTGTCATTCTGGAGTGAAATAATGTCAAAACCCCATTTCAGTGCAAATGTTTTCATTGATAGAAAACTTTAAACACAAACCTCCCCTTGTGTGAATTTAAAATCTTTTTCTAATAAACGTGCAAGCTGTGATCAAAATGTAAACACAAGGATATCCATATTAGTCTTTTAATAAACTGACAGTCGATAAGTATAACTGTAAAAGTCAGTACACTGTAGTAAAAAAAGCTTCTATTATGAATTAGGTTTGGTTGAGAAGTACAAAAAGATTCAACATTCATTCCTGACCATGGAAACCGCTGCTGACAAAACACATCATGTCCATTTAGTAGCTGTTCTGGAGCTTTTGATCCACGATGAGGATTTTATTTTATTTCTTTACTTGACAACTGTTGTTGTTGTGGTTTGCTGAAAAATCTGATACAAGAATTCATGGTCCCCAGAGGATGATTTATAGTAACTTTGACTTTTCATCTAGCATCTTCATCCAATTAAAACTTGGTTTACACTTAGCCAAGCCACTTAGACCAAATAGCATAAAATATCTACCCTCCCCTGCTGTATTCCAGAGCTAAGTAGAGCCAACATTTGCATGTTAACATGCTAAAGCAACACACTGAACATGGTTACTCCAAGAGAGTCCTGATAGGGTTTCCACTAGTGATAGGAGGCACATGTCCCCCTCTCACATTTCAAAATCCTATTTCTGTCTCCCTGACTTTTACAGTTTCACTTTCAGTCAGTAATAGACCTTGAAACTGTTTCCTCTGACCGTACAAAACGGAGATGTGACAAGCTCTCAAAATGTTGCAGATGCTAATAGTAGTCGCCTTCAGTTATTACCACGTTTCTCACAGCATTTAAGCTTTAAAAATAGCAAGTGATTTGCAGGCTTTATGGTCCCTGCCTCTCAGGCAACACACAGACTGCCTTCAAGTAGAGTGCAGACACTATAGGAGCACCAGGTCATGACAGAAGTTATCTCAGGACACTTTTCAGAGCAGGTCTAGACCGTAATATTTATACAATTATTTTATTATTTTTTAGCTATAA